AAATATCGAAAAATAACGATTAAATTGTATTGAAACATTGTTCAATATTTCTGCTGCATATATATCAGAAGATATAGACATTTTTATAATTTAATAATAATATTATTCTGAAAGAATAAATACAATAAATAATCTTCTATATTTTTCTTTAGAGTCTCTCATTCATGATATTCTGAAGAAACAAAAAGGCACACAGTTTAACAACATAGATAATAAAAGTTTACCAAACTTTTTATTTTGTGTAGCTGCCAAATTGCGAACAAAAGCTAAGCCAATTAAGAAAAAAGTGTTCACAATTTAGAACACAGGAAATAACGTTGATCTTATTTTTAGTGCGTTTCCATATTGCGAACACTTTTAATAATTACGTAATATAGTCTTAATTAGAAAAAAAAATTATAAAGAATAGAAATGCATAATAAAAAAAACTATTCCTCATCACTACTATCTCCGGCATCTTGGATAAGATCTATATAACGATGAAAAATAGATCGTAAAGCTTTTTGATAAGCATGAAAATCTTTATCTTGAATATATATTTGATTTGATAATTGTATTATCTTTTAAAGTTATAGTACGAGAACAAGATTTGAAAGTACATATATACATAAATGAACCGTTCTTGTTTTCACGCCTCAACCCATATAAATGATTATTATATAAGGTAGCCTTTTCACCTCTTACGGTTGTTGATCAAGTAAAATTTGTAACCATACTTTGAATTATGACACCATTCTTATTCTCAAACTTCTATATTTATATTATTAATAAAATTGAAGTCATAATCAGCTATTACAATTACTAATTAATCAAAGTATTCTCAATTTGGAAACGCAATAAAAATAAGATCAACGTTATTTTCTGTGTTCCAAATTGCGAACATTTTTTTCTTAGTTGGCTTAATTTTTGTTCGCAATTTGCACATAATCTTATTTTATTGTATTTTTTTCTACATGAAATAAAATAGAAAATACGGAAATGAAACAGCACAAAAGAAAACTACATTATTAATAAGTAAGATTATACTAATCCAGAAAAAAAAAATACGAGAAAAAGGACAAAACATTCGTTCCTAAACACTTTCTCGTGTAGATTATGTTACCAGTTGTAGGAAGGATAACAAACATAAGAAAACTATTATTAGTTTTAATAATTAATGATAAATTCCATTCAATAGTAATACAATCTGTTGTACTCATGTATAATTAATTACAAAATATTTTAATATAGTATATTTGAAATATGTCATGATGATAAATTTTTTCTATTTAAAAGTAAGCATAGTTTAATGAAAAAAAAATTAATAATGTAAAGTTTCTTTTATGAATATAAATATGCTACTGAAAATAATTCTATTAGTACAGATTTAAATCTATACTATAAAAAGAATCTTTTAATAAGGAAAGATCGATACAAAAAAAAATTTTTATCGACAAATTTGATTCAATTATATTCTCCTAAGACTTTATTTACATACAAAAAACAATGGAGTAAAAAGAAGCACCGACATTATATTTCATTAATTACTTTTAATAAATTTTCTAACGACAACCGGTAGTTTAATTACATTGACAGGAAAGTCTATTAACAATATCCTTTTTTCGTCTTTCATTATTCATTATGATCTACATCAAACATTCGAGATCATGATAACTTTTCCGAAAAATTCTTTTATTTCATCACATACGATCAGTAATTAGAAAATTTCAAAGATCATTGAAATTGATCACATAAATATAAATTACTTTATGTTTATAGAACAAAACCTGCAAGTTGTATACCGATTAAATTGGATAAAGAAGATTTTTATGAAATTAATATTAAAAGAGATCTTTCACATACTGAAAGACACTCAATTAATTCTTTCTAAATTTGACTTTTAATCTTCATTTTTCAAGTATAAATAACTCACGATTATTAAGATTCTATTTAAAAAACACGAATCGCAGCATCTATCAGGACTCTAGCGAAAGAGTCATCTAAATAAGGATATCATCCATGTATTATATGTCAGGACACTGCGTTATATGTCAAAGTTATAAGTTTAAACAGCTTATCTATAATGTGTTACATTAATCTTTAAAATATCTCTCATATGAATCGCTTCATCCGTTCAAACAAATTTCATATTTTTTATTTTTCAATAAGTTTCAAAGGACAACAGTACTCAGCATATAGAAATTGAAAATTCAACAACAATACAGATAGAATTCGAGGCATTCTACCATGAGGAAGCTTGAAACACTGACACATTTACACCCTACTGGAGGAGTTACAAAGACTAGGACATAAAATCTCGAAGTGAGCGCTCTAAATATTGAATTCCACTTGATTCTTGTGGGCAATGGGTATAGTTCACATCAACGAGCACCTATTGGAAAGACAAACAGCAAAAAAAAAGAAATGTTTCTTGAAATGCATAATAAAAACATGAAATTTACAAATTAATCTATTTGTATTTGTTAAATTCATATTCCGTCACAGACATTATTCTTCTCTCTAAACCAAACATAATAGACAACAGATAAAATTAATTAAAGAAAAAACATATGTATTTGAATGAAGATAAGATTGAAATTACCAATTGTAGTAAAATAAGGATCAAAAAATAACGATTAAATGGTACTGAAATATAATTTAATGTTTCATATAAATCTGTACTCAGAAACCTTAACATTGAAGAAAATCAGTACTCATTAAATTATGATAGAGATAATAGACTTATGCATAAGCGAATGGTTCTTCCATTGAGTTCGTGCTAAGTTATACCTCGTATCCATTTTATGAATAATCGTGATAATAGTTTCTCATTTCTTTTTTGCATTAGATTGAAATAGAGTGGTATTTTTTAATCGAGAGTATAATTCTGATAATAACAACACAAATGATATCCTTAAAAAGAAACAACTTAATTAATTGTTAATCCGCGTTCTCTGACTCTTATCTTGTTTAAAACAATCCATGTATTCTTAGAAACGTTGACAAACAGCATATTTCTTTTTTTCTTTCTATCTAAACTGTACTGAAAAGTATATTCTTTTTTTTCTAATGAATTTCTCTGGAATAGAATTAATCATCTAATTTATCAAAACGGTGAAAGTGTTTTCGAATCAAATGAAATTATAAAGACAAGTAAAAAGTTATTGCATTCTCTTTTTTTTTCACAAATATGAAACTATATAGTTATTAAAAACCAACTTACTGTATATAACGAAGAAAGAGAAGAAAACGGAAAGAATAACGTATACTTAGTACTTAGTGAAATAATTACAAAGAATCAATCATTTTTACATTCTGTTTTGTTTACATGTTCTTTTTGTTAATTATACTACAACAATACTAATAGATGAGAAAGAAAAAGCAGAAGTGAGCACAAAAGAGAGACGCTCTATATGCTCTTACTTTGAAAATTATCAATATATATTTAAAGAAAAACTAAGTCATCGATATTTTTAGCTAGTTGCATTACTTATGTGAAATAGATTCATATCGTCATAGATGGTATACATATGAATATGTGATCACTAGAGATCGTTGAATGAGTCCCGAACGCGACTGAGGTTGGATCCGGATCTGAAAGTTTTCTGGTGATCATGTCTAGATCCAAACATCGCTACTGATCGAGTTTGGTACCGACCGAACGTACTGTACCTTAAGATCCATGTTATTAAAACCGCGTCACTTTGATGATTAATCACGATATTCAAAAAATCGTCGATTAATCAACGACTTTTCAATAAATCACAATTAATTCGCAGTATTTCAACAATAAATTTTATTTCATAAAAATAATTATGTTTTCTTTCATTTAGACTATGTACAATGAACGCTGCATATTATTTCATGACGAAAAAACGTTTTGTGTTATTTATGGCTGATGCAGAGAAGGAAGTCGTCCCATCCTTATTTACGAGAAATTTGTATCAACAAAATGCAGAACGACAGTCGTATATATATTATTTATATAATCAGGATTTTCCATGAAAATCGGCAAAAGGAGTCAAGTTAGGCGATTAGATCGCGATATAATCTTATAATTGATCGGTAATCATGTTGTTGGTCGAAAAATTTTCGTCGACGCAGCATATCAAAAAAAAGTTCACTATAACATGATGTATATTTTTTTATAGAAAAAAATTGTATAATGTATATACTTAGGGCATACCAAAAGTAGTAGCGCCAATCCTGCAATATTTTACAGAAGCCTTTAATAATTTTTTTCTCCCTATATTCTGATAGTCCAAGTCAAGCTCTATAATTCTATGATATTTCATACATCTTCAAACAATATTATATAAGCAAAAGTTTTGATACTTTTAAGTTTTGTGCAGCTTTTATAAATTTTCACCTAGAAAATATATAAAAACTAACTACACGCACAGAAAAAACAAACAGAGCATGTGTGTTTCACATGTATAAATGAAGATAAATCTCAAAGAAGTTTAAAAGACTGAGAAAAGAAAGAGAAGAGAGGAGAAAGTTAAAAGGAAAAAAAGAAAAGGACAGAAATATTACGCTGAAGACAATATAGCATAGTGTTTCTAACATAGACCATAATACGATCAAAACTATTCACTTCTTTTCAAATGGATAAGGAATATTTTCGTTTCTATATTAAAGTGCTCACTGCACTTCATATTGAACCAATAGCTATTCATAATGAATTACATACTGTCTTTGGTGATGAAGCTCCTCCTTTCAGGACTGTTCAAAGATGGTCAAAATGGTTTCATGACGGTCGAGAAGAAGTTGAAGACCAAGAAAGATCTGGCAGACCTATAACGGAGACAACATGTGAAAATATTAAACAAGTTCGCGATCTTATTGACGATGACCCTTATGTTACAGTTGACGAACTCGAAGCACAAAGTGGTCCAAGCCATGGCACTGTTCAACGAATTATTTCTGATCATTTGCAGTTGAAAAAAGTTACTGCAGGTTATGTTCCCAAACATCTGACGAACTTTCAAAAGGCTGAACGAGTACAAATATGTCAAGAAAACTTTGTCAAAATTTGAACAAGGTGATTGGAGATTATGCGATGTAGTAACAGGTGATGAATCATGGTTTTATCACAAGCAAATCGGTCGAAAATCATCGAATGCTGCTTGGGTAGCACGTGGAGATCCCTCTTCAACGGTGGTTCGACGTAGTCATTTTGCTCCAAAAACTCTCCCGTGTATCTTTTTCAAGTCAGCTGGTCCAGTTTTGATTCATTCTTTTAAACGTGGACAAACAATCGATCATCAATATTACATCAATAATTGTTTGCGACCAGTTATTGATGAAATTAGGAAGCAACGACTTTTCTTAGGCATTCAATCAATTAAACTTCATCATGATAATGGAAGATCACATATGCATGAAGATGTAGTCAATTATCTTCAATCGGAAGGCGTAACAATAATGCAACATGCACCTAATTCTCCAGGTCTGGCTCCATGCGATTTTTGGTTGTTTAATTTAATCAAACAAGATCTAGATCATCAAGATGATTCAGAATCGTTGCATGGAGCTGTGATCAAATTTATGCTTTCGTTGAGAAAAGAAGAGTATAAAAAAACTTTTGATAAGTGGATCCAACGAATGCATTTGTGTATAAACAACTGGGGTGATTATTTTAAACATTTGATGTAATAAAAACATGATAAACTTGGTTCAAAAAAAAATTTTTTTTGTCAATCATTCATTGTTTTTGCTTCGGTTCCAATATTATATATTGTTTGAAGATTTAAGAAATATCGTAGAATTATGGAACTTGACTCGGACTATCAGAATGTATAGAGAAAAAATTTCCTAAAGGCTTCTGTAAAATATTACAGGATCGGCGCCACTACTTTTGGTGTGCCCTAAATATATTGCGGTATCCTTCATATGTGTATATAATGTATTCGATGGCACCTGCATAAGTTTTCATGGCCGATATGGAGCATAACCAGGGTGTGGAGTGTGGGTGCATGTATAGATGGATGTGGCTGTGGATGTGGGTGTGCGTGGGTGTGGATGAGCTGGGTGTGGGTGTGGGTGTGTGTGGTGTAGCTGTGGCTGTAAGTCTGCGTGTATGTGAAGGGTAGACTCACACCCACCCCCACCCACATCCCATACCGACACCTACACTCTCTAGTACGCTTATGAATTTATTAGAAAAAATCTTGTATACACACAATTAAAATGAATTATTGACATATTTAAATAAGAAATTTCCGTTGATCCTGCTTTCATAAATTTTTTTTCGAATTAACAGGAAATAAAAATAAACATCTTATATATTTAAATAGAGAGAGAGACAAATAAACTAAATAATCATATGTCTAAAGATATTGTACCTAACAAGTACTTTTAATATCAATTGTTTTGTTTTTGATTTTATAAGAACGGTAAAATATATTTTGAAATATTTACTATAGATTTTTTGATGATTTATTGTTAACAAAAACTGATCAATAGAAACAAAAAGAAAAACTTTTATTATCTTCATTGAAATATCATTGAGTGCAGGTATAATAAAGCTTTTTAATTCATAATAATGCTTTCTTAAATCATTCTGTTTTTTTTTTAATTTCCGCATCAACAATCTTTTAATCTTTGGAGCATATGTTAATTTTCATTTTATTATCAAGAAAAAATCATTTTATCAACATCGTATATCATAAATTTACGGTATATTTATTTAGATGCTCTAATAAACATAAAATGTAAAAAAAAGAAAAAGGTCTATATCGGGATATTTTTTAATAAGTATCGCATATGGAGTGTCTGAAAAGTAGCTTCCTATTTTAAATTCTTAATTACTCTCAAACAACAAAAGATATTGTACCGATTTTTTCACTGTTTTGAAGCATGTGTCATGACATATAAAATTTTATACGAGAACTCGGGTGTAGATGTGGATGTGGAGTTTTGGTGTGTGTATGTGTGTTTGAATAATGCAAAAATGCTTACTCATACACACACATTCACACTCTGGTTCTAGTATATGAATAATAAACTACTCAAAATAATGAGTTCTTTCTAGATATTCTCAAGACAAAATTTAGGCTTGATCTTAGACAGTCGAACGATCAATCAGCTTTTTTCATCTACAACAAAATTTCATGAGGCATGCTTCAAATTAGTGAAAAAATCATTACGATATCTTTTGTTGTTTGAAAGTAATAAAGAATTTAAAATAGGAAGCTGCTTTTCAGACACCCTGTAGAATTCTCATCACTATCGAATGGTGTTCATTCGTTATTTATCATACTCATTAATTTTTATTTAGAATAGTCAACGTAAATTGCTGAAACAGATGTATTTATAAATGTATTTTTAACTGGATGTAATCTTCTATTATTAATTAATAGTGCAAAATCCCCTATTTGAATTGATACTGTTCTTGTTCATGATTAGAGAAAAAAAATCTAAATTTAGTAAGTTTACATGTAATATATATATACCTAATCTAGTTTATATATGTTTCAATGAAAGTCGTGTAATGTCTTTATAGAACTTTTTTTCTTTCATGCATTCATAATAACCGGCATCAAGTTGCATTGCATCTTTTTTATTAAAACATTTTTACCGTATGACAGATTCCAGATTCTAAAGAAATACGCAAGATTCTATATTCAATTCACTTGTCATTATTTCATCCGTACTCAATTTGAACTATGTTTTCAACAGCCGATATAAATTTAATAGAAGTATTGAACAATGTTTCAATACAATTTAATCGTTATTTTTCGATATTT